GATGTTGAGATAAATTCCATCCATACCCATAGTTGAGAGTTTTTATCACAAAAGTATGTCAGGTTTTGTCAAATGCTTTTTCTGTATCTGTTGAAATGATCATATGATGTTTCTTTTTTATTTTTACTAAGGTGGTATATCACATTTATTGATTTGCACATGTTGGAACAGCCTTTCATCTCTGGGATGAATTCCATTTGATCATAGGATGATTATTTTAATATGTTGTTTAATTTGGTTTGCTAATATTTTGTTGAGGATTTTTGTACCTATATTCAGCAGGGATATTGACTTCTAATTTTCTTTGTCTGTAGTGTCCCTGGTCTGGTTTTGGTATCAGCATAATGCTGGCCTTATGAGTTTGGGAGTGTTCCTTGCTCTTCAATTTTTTGGAAGTTTGAGAAGAATTGTCACTAGCTTTTTAAATGTTTGGCAGAATTTACCAATGAAACCATCTGACTCTGAGCTTTTCATTGTTGGAATGTGTTTGATTATTGATTCAGTCTCCTTTCTAGAAATTGGCTAATTCAAAGTTTCTATTTCTTTATGACTCAGTCTTGGTAGGTTGCATGTTTCTAGGAATTTATCCATTTTAGGTTATCTAACTGATGGCATATCATTGTTCATGGTACTCTCTTATGATTCTCTGTATTTTTGTGGTATCAGTTGCAATGTCTCCTTCATTTCTGATCTATTTGTTTTCACTTTTTTTTTCCTTAAAAGTTTGTCAATTTTGCTTATCTTTTCAAAACCCCAGTTCAATTTTGCTGATATTTTCTATTGGTTTTCTGGCCTCTATTTCACTTATTTCTCTCTGATCTTTGTTATTTTTTTTCCTTCTAACTTTAGGCTTAGTTTGTTCTTTTTTTTTTTTTTTTTTTTTTTTAGTTCCTTTATGTGTATAGTGGGGATGTTTATTTGAGATTTTTCTTTTTTTCTCATGTAGCTGTTTCTTGCTATAAACTTCTTCTTAGAACTGCTTTTGCAGTTTACAATTTCATTTGTTTTAAGATATCATTTGAACCCTCTTGATTTTTTTGACCCTTTGGTTAAATAATAGTATTTTGCTTAATATTCACATATTTGTAAAATTTCTAGGTTTTCTCCTATTATTGATTTCTATTTTCATACTATTGTCATTAGAAAAGATATTTGGTATAGTTTCAATCTTCCTAAATTTGCCAAGAATTGTTTGTGGCCTGACATAGGATCCATCCTGGAGAATGTTCCCTGTATACTTGCAAAGAACATGTATTCTACTGCTGTTGGATGGAATGTTCTGTATATTTTTTAGATCCATTTGATTATAGTTCAAGTTCAGTGTTTCTTTTTTGATTTTATAACCGGATGACCTAGCCAATGGTGAAAATGGAGTAGTGACGTCTCCTATTATTATTGCATATATTCCTTCTGATTTGTTTGATTTGTTTGATATATTTAGCTGTTCTGATGTTGGGTTCATATATAATTGTTTTATCCTCTTCATGAATTGAACTCTTTATCATTCATTATATAATTACCACCTGTCTCTTGTTATGGGATAAGTCTATTTTGTCTGATATAAATATTGCTATCTCTGTTCTCTTGGTTTCCATTTGCATAGAATATCTTTTACCATCCCTTCACTCTGAGTCTCAGCGTGTCTTTAAAGTGAGTCTTGGGGTACCTGGGTGCCTCAGTTGGTTGAGTGACAACTTCAGTTCAGGTCATGATCTCACGGTTTGTGAGTTAGAGCCCCATGTCCGGCTTTGTGCTGACAGCTCAGAACCTGGAGACTGCTGTGGATTCTGTGTCTCCCTCTGTTTCTGCCCCTCCCCCACTCCTGCTCTGTCTCTCTCTGTCTCAGAAATAAATAAACATTAAAAAAAATTTTTTTAAGTGAGTCTCTTATTGGCAGCATATAGCTGAGTTTTGTTTTTGTCCTTTCAGCCACTTGATGCTTTTTGATTGGTCACTTTAAACGTTTACATTTATGCTATTGATGGATAAGGAATTTCTAATACCATCTTATTGTTTTTTGGCTATTTTATACTTCTCCTCTTGCTGTCATCCTTTGTGAATTGATGATGTTCCATAGTGCTTTGCTTTGATTCCCTTTTCTTTATCGTTTGTGTATGTTGTGTAGGTGTTTGCTTTGTTGTTACCATGAGGCTTACATAAAACATCTTATAGCTATACCAGTCCATTTAAAATTGATAACAACTTGGGGCGCCTGGGTGGCGCCGTCGGTTAAGCGTCCGACTTCAGCCAGGTCACGATCTCGCGGTCCGGGAGTTCGAGCCCCGCATCGGGCTCTGGGCGGATGGCTCAGAGCCTGGAGCCTGTTTCCGATTCTGTGTCTCCCTCTCTCTCTGCCCCTCCCCCGTTCATGCTCCGTCTCTCTCTGTCCCAAAAATAAATAAAAACGTTGAAAAAAAAATTAAAAAATAAATAAATAAATAAATAAAATTGATAACAACTTAACTTCAGTTGCATACAAAAATTCTACCCTTTTATTCCTCTCCCTCACATTTTATGTTTTTGACATCATAATATACCTCTTTTTATATTGTGTATTCATTAACAAATTAGTTATTTTTAATCCTCTTGTCTTAACTTTTATACTGGAGTTAAGTGATTAACACACTATCATATTATAGTATTAGAGTATTGTGAATTTGATTATATACTTACCTTTACCAGTATGTTTTATATTTTCATAATTTTTCATGTTGCTAGTGTTCTTTCATTTTGGTTGGAAGAACTCCTTTCAGTTATTTCCCCTTCATTTCTGAAGGACACCTTTTTCAAGTAAAGTATTCCTGCTTGGCAATATTTTTCTTTCTGCATTTTGAATATAGCATCACACTCTATCCTGGGTTGCAAAGTTTCTGCTGAAAAGCTGTTGATAGACTTATGGTGGGGGTGGGGGATTCCCTTATGTATGAGATTTTTTTCTCTTGCTATTTTTATAATTATCTTTCAAAAAATAGACAGCTTTTATGGTAGTGTGTCTTGGAGAAAATATTTGGAATTGGAATTTGGGGGGAACCTATGAGCTTTATGAACCTGGATGTCCAAAGCTGTCCTCAGATTTGAGAAGTTCTTGGCCATTATTACTTTAAATAAGGAGTATGTCCTCTTCTTCCTTTCTTATATTTCTGGGACTCCAGCAATATTTGGATTGCACCTTTTAATGGTTTCATATAGTTCACATAATCTTTTTTCATTCTTTTTTCTTTGTTCCCTTCTGACTGGATCATTTCAAATGACTTGTTTGCCACCACAGATTCTTTCTTCTGCTTGATCAAGTTCTCTATTGATGCCTTGTATTGCATCTTTCATTCCATTCACTGGAATGGATTCTTCAGCCCCTCGTTTCTGTTTGGGTCTTTTGTATGTTTCTATCTTTCTGTGAAACTTCTCATTTGTTCATGAATTGTTTTGCTAATTTCATTGAATCATCTTTGTGTGTTTTCTTGTGGTTCACTGAGCTTCCTTAAAACAACTCTGTTGAATCTTCATTAGGCAAAAAACAGATCTCCGTTTTTGAGCGTTTGGTTATTGGAAAATTATTGTGTTCCTTTGGTGCTCTCATGTTTTCTTGATTTTTATGTTTCATGAAGTTTTGCACTGCTGTCTTTACATTGAAGAAACAATCAACTCTGTAGTCTTTATTGCCTGGCTTTTGGAAGAAATACATTCTGTCAGCCCAACTAGGGCAAAGCCAGGCCAGGTGCTGAGAGCCTCCTGTTTGCTTTCCCTAGGACAGAGCTGAATGCTCAAGTCTGTGCAATTTTTTTCCCGTTCTGCATAGTTGGGCCTGCAGAACCAGCCATCTGTTGGGCATATGAACAGAGAGATGGCCATGGGGAGGGAATATGTATTTGTGAGGCACACGGAGTGTTACTGGTGCCTGTAAGCCAGATCTGCAGGGGAGGCATCCCCAGCGGCTTATGGATGGTCTACAGATGGAGTCTGTGACAGAGCTGGTAGGATCCATGTCCTTTGATGCCCTCCCAGAGCCCTAGATGCATTCTCTGAGCTGCGTCCTCATCATTCCATTCAGTATTCAGGGTAGAGTGAGAAAGAAGTGGGTCTCTTCTTCACATCTGGGGAAACTGGGTACTCGCCCACATATTCAACTTCCCTCCATGCAGAGATCATGAACCAAAAAGGTCTCTTGGCAATGAGCTCTGCTGCCTTGGGGGAAGGGGAAGGGTGATGTGGATAAAGTGAAGCTATTGTTCTTACCCTCTCCAGTGTGTTTAATCTCTGATATTTTTTTTCTCCAGAGGTATGCTGGAATATCTCTGCTGGACCCCTGGACTTCACAAAGGTACTCTCATATATAGGGGACTGTCAAAACCAGTCTTCTTTGGGGAATGTGGTAGAAAACTCTGGTTTTGTCACTGAATAATATTATTCTCCCTCATCACAGTTTTACAGACAAAATATATGAACCTTAAAAAGTTTTGTTGTCATTAAGATTTATAAATAGAGGAGCTAGAAAGAGAACCCAGGTATCCAGAAGACAAATAGCAGGAGTGATTGAGATGGATCAAGGAATGGAGTGGGTAGTATGGATGGAGAGAATGCATCAGGGCAGAAAAGAGCTGACTCATGGAGAATCAGTTATATTTTATATATGTGGCTAATTGGAAGTCAGAAATAAAAGATTTGTTACTCAGGAGCTATGATGTTTATTTTCCTGTTCTCTAGATAGAAATATAAATGTCTGCTTCCTTCTTTGGATACTGAGCACCTCAGTGGGATCTCAGAGATTTGTCCTAAGCCCAGGAACCCAGGCATCCTCTCCAAAAAGGCAGCCATATTTTCCCTTATATCAGAATAGCAGCAGTAAAGCCTCCGCAAATTTATAGATCCCTTTTCCTAAAGACTACAGTTTCCTAATATGTTATAACATCTCTATTAGGCCACAAAAAGGACCATAGACATAAAAAGAGGGCAGAAGTCATTTATGGTGACTGAGAACTGGAAACTCCATGTGAAATTGCTACCTGGGAGGTGAATTAGAAGAGGCTTGATCCTCTGTGTGGCCCCCACATCCACAGTCTCTCAAAATTGTTGTGAGGAAGAGATAGGATGCCCGAGCAGTCACAACAAATAAACCTTCCATTCAGAACTTTGAAGCTAATTAGTTCTATGAATGCTTAGATGTGTACCAGGATATAAAGCTGATGGTTCTCCCACACTGCTGGTCCCCACAGTCCCAATATTGGTTTATTTTTTGCACCTTGTGCAAGGGGATGCTGTTGAGAAGTCCCCCTTAATAAGCCTCCATCCTGATTAACACACTGAAAATCTCTCCATTTTCTGGGTCAGGAAGGTGCCAACGAATATCCCAGAACTATACCCTGTTGGCCCTAGTAACCTGAGTCACAGGTTGCAAAAAACTGAAACAAATAAATGATTAAAACAAATATAGAGACATTATGTCTGGCTTAAATTCTAGTATATCCAGTTTTGAAAGAGACATGTTACCTCTTCACAAACCCCTTTATCCAGAGTTGCCCTCTTAATTTCCTTCTTTTTCGGTCATTGAAAACAATAAGCCATGTTTCCTACTTATATAAAATTATCATGTATATAGAAACCTCGAAAACCAAACTTGCTAAAGGGCTATCTTCATACCATGGGCTGTATCTTAACCATCTTAAAAACATTAGAATCTCAGTTTTCTTACCTATAAAATATACTTTCGGGTTTCATCTAGTTATACAATTCTACAGGTGTGCATATACTCTGAAATACTGCTTTTTGAACACTAAAGGAAATTCAGTTATTCCTGTGTTGGTATGTAGAAATCAACCTGAATTAAAAATATGAGTTCACGGGTGCCTAGGTGGCTCAGTCACTTAAGCCTCTGACTTCGCTCAGGTGATGATCTCACAGTTTGTGAGTTCGAGCCCTGCGTCGGGCTCTGTGCTGACAGCTCAGAGCCTGGAGCCTGCTTCGGATTCTGTGTCTCCCTCTCTTTGTTCCTCTCCTGCTCACTCTCTGCCTCTCTCTCTCTCTCTCTCTCTCTCTCTCTCAAAATTAAAAACTAAAAAAAAAACAAAAAACAAAAAAACTTTTAATAAAATTATGAGTTCACAATTTTAGATAAAACTTTAAGGCAAGTAAAATTGAGAAAACAAAAATATGAAAATGAAACTATGGCATGTGTAAGTTGTTCAGTAAGTATACACATATATATAATTATCATTTGAATCAAATATCAAAACCTAAACTTATGTCACAAATATACATTGTAGTATAGGAGAGCACTTATTTCCTCAATGTGGGAAACACTAGTATATCCAATACCAAGACTGAGTAACATTACTTTTTTTAATTGTCTCAGAGCATTTTCTGCATCATCTGAAATTCACAAGAAATGCTTACAGTGTAACATCATTCTGAGTTGAGAATCAATGGTGCATTAACAATAAACAGTAGTAATAGTAAAACATGCTTATTTAATCCTGACAAAACCTTAAAAAGAAGTAATTATTAGCCTAATTATAGAAATCAAGAAGTCAGAATTTAGAGAGGTTTCATTAAGGTTTTTTCCAAAATCACACAGCTAGAAAATTCAGAAGCTGAAGTCAAATCCTGATCGTATTTTGATTTGATAAGCAAACTGCTATAGTTTTACCTATGTCTTACATCTCCTCATATGACTGAATTTAATTATCTACCAGTAACGCTGAATTACATACGGCTACATGTGTTGCAGCAAATACTCGGCGCCCAGAAGATACAAATGACAAGCACTTGGGGAATCTGAAAAGACTTTATTTTGCACCGGTGCCGGCCCAGCGGAGTGACCTCCAAAGGCTGAGCATCTGGCTCGGGTTTTACTGATCTTTTATAATATGTGCTTCCGGGTTGGGCAGACTAGTATCGTGGAGCTTCTGGTTCCTGGCTGCTGGCTGATGCAAGAGGCAAGCAAGATTGCAGAACCCAAAAGCATGCAAGGGGAGTAGCCGGCCTCGGATGTCTGGCTGCCCCTTTTTATTTGCGTTTACCAGCTTTCCTCCTCACAGAAGTCAATTATTCAGGAGACTTCTGTTAATAGATTGGTTTGATGAATTCTCTAAATATCAACTCCCATAAAACTGAAGAGGCATGGAGGTAAATCTGGCATGATTTAACTGAAAATTAGATCAGTTCCACCCTTCACAGATAGAGATTTGTGACCTATACAATAAAACAGAAGAGTGCCAAAAATCAAGTATGAAAAAAAAAAAATAGGCCACTTATTAAATTACCTTTCATGGACCTTTGTTACTTTAAGCCGGAATCTTGACCTGAGGGGTATCACCTGGGAACACTGTCTGATCTTTTGGCAAAATTCCAGAAGACTTTGTTCCATAACTTGACCACAAGAGAAGACCTACTTCATTTTATGTCTTTGGACATTATAGAATTAACAAAGCGTGATAAGAGTCAACTCTTTCTCTTAAGGGTATGGTTGCTTTAATTATATGCATCAACCTTTTCAGCAGGATAAGAAAATGTAATAAAATCAGCTATCAGTTTAAATCTGTTTCTATTGCTGGGAACATCCAGTTTTCTTACTTCAGATCCCATTTCTTGCCTACAGTCATAAAAAAAAAACCCCATGATAAATACTGTTCACAAATATGCTAGGTATGGCAAAACTAGAGAGTCAATACCCTGCATATGAATACGTATTGCTACTTTTACAACAGCTGGCAGAGCAATTTTTTCCATGTGATCCTGTTAATGTGAAACAAATTTAAATGAACAAGCTCACTTATAAAATACAGGCTCATTATTGTTTCAGTTGACCTTCTTCTTCCTTAAGTTATTGTCTACTCTGCAACTAACATTTATTAAAATTTCAACATCAGATAGCTTAAAAAACTTCATAATTACACTTTCTCAAAAAGAATGCCACTTAAAATTTATTTTTAATGTATATTCATTTTTGAGAGAGAGACTGAGACAGAGCACAAGCAGGGGAGGGAGAGAGGGGAACACAGAATCGGAGGCAGGCTCCAGGCTCCAAGCTGTCAGCACAGAGCCACACGTGGGGTTCAAACTCACTGGGGAACTGCCAGATCATAACTTGAGCTGAAGTCGGACACTTAACTGACACCCCATCTAGTAAAAATAATGTTTTAAGAAATTACGAAAAGAAGAATACAAATAAAATTTTCTCTTTCTGTATCCAAGAAAAAGAAAAGGAGAAAAAGAGAAAGAAGAAGAAACAACGAAAAACAAAACAAAACAATTTAAACAAAAGCAAAAAAGCAAAAAACCCCTAAACCCAAGGAGATGAACCACCAAACACAATAATGAAACCCAAATGAAGTTACATCCAGTTTCCGCTGGCATTCAAACTATAAAGCACTCTGTATTCCATACACTAAGCAGGTGAAGAGATTTGCGGTGGTCTTCTAGGGTGCTTGGAGGGCCCAGTTGGGCGGGGTGTGGTGTAAGGGCTCCATTCTCCACTAGGTGGCACTGCTGAGCTTACCAGGTGGTTAGATGTGTCGCACACACGCATCTGTACGCATGTGCAGGAGAGGTGAAAATGGTGTCACCCAGCTTCCTGGTTTCTGACGCAGGAACTCTGAGCTCTCATTGACCCGCAATCAAGCACCCATCATTTGCCTCGGGCTTCTGTCCACTCTCCTCTTCTCCACTGTCCAGTCCAAGGCGTCAGCCTGCCAGGTAGCACTCCCTCCTGAACTTTATCTCAGATGGAGCTATGTTTCCAAACCCCTTGCTTCTGAGAGTCCTGCGGCTCCAACCCTCTGGGGAAGGGTCTCACTGAGCAATGGCTGGGTGCTGACCAGCCCCAGAAAACTTCCTGCGATTGCACGGAGGCAAATTTTAGAGATTACGGTGAATCATAACACAGAGCAAGCGCCAGGTTTCACTGCATTCTGGCATCTTTGCTCCAATACCAGCAAACGTGGCTGTGGCCCCCCCCCCCCCCCCCCCCCGGGTCTGCCCTGACCTTTGCCTATGGGGAGGCCATACGGCCTCTACCAGGTGCCCTCCAAGCAGGGGAACCGCTTCTCCCCATGTGGCCCCCCCAGACCCCTGGGACCTCACTGCCTGCCCTTGGGGATTTGCCCTTCCTCCCCACCAGAGCACCGCCAGGTATTGAGCCCCATAATTTCTGACTCTGCGGTCCCCTGTTTATAGAGTCCTAATGGTATTGAAACCCTGTCCTTTCTTCCTGTCAGTGGTTTTGGAGAACACATTTCTTCTTCAGTCCCTTGTGTGTGTTTCCATTCTTTTTCTTTCTCTCTAGCTACTTTCCAGGGGAGTGCTTTTCCTGTATTCTCCCAACGTGCTGTACTCTACCCCCAACACCTTTCTCTGTCCTCTCTCTACAAAAACAGCTCCCTACCCTCCACAGCTTCTTTCTCCCCCAGTTCACCTCTCTGCGCCGCATACCTACCACATCCTGTGGCTCAAGTAATGCAGATTGTTGTATTAATACTCAAATCCCTAGGTGTGCAACACTTTTTGCTGATGATCCAGCTATATTTCAGGGATGAGAGAAAGATGAGAACTTCCATGCTGCTCTGCCATATTGGCCCCTCCCCCCCAAATTTGACAAACTTCTAAAGTTTTATTTTGACATCCATGTTTCTTGTTACCGTGATTTAAATTGCTTGCTTCCAAAACAAAACAAATAAAAAAAAATCTAAAATAGATAATAGATACCTGGTAATACTAGAGACTAGTTCATTTTTTTTTTAATTTTTTTTTCAATGTTTATTTATTTTTTGGGGACAGAGAGAGACAGAGCATGAACGGGGGAGGGGCAGAGAGAGAGGGAGACACAGAATCGGAAACAGGCTCCAGCCATCAGCCCAGAGCCCGACGCGGGGCTCGAACTCACGGAGCGCGAGATCGTGACCTGGCTGAAGTCGGATGCTTAACCGACTGCGCCACCCAGGCGCCCCGAGACTAGTTCATTTTAACAAGACATTGAATGTCCTGCTGTGGCATGCTCTTCCCCATTGCCTGCTGTATGGTCCATGGTTAAAAGGCAGATATTAAAAGGCAGGGACCAAATAAAAATAATATTTAAGAGAAAATACACTGTCAAGCAAATTTGAAAGTAAT